ACGGAAACTACTCTGTTCTTGCTATCGTTGTTGCATGTGTCTGCTCTTGCGATGACTTTACATGGCTTTCGACCGATGCTGCTACTGCTACTGCTACTGCTACTGCTACTGCTACTGCTACTATTACTATTACTACTACTACTACTACTACTACTACTACTACTACTACTACTACTAGCCACCCCCCCTACCAACTACTGCTGCTATTTGGGCTGGGCAATGGCAGCTTCTAGGCTCCCTATCTGTGACAGCTGCAGGGGCCCACTTGCCTTAACTGTCACAGCCGGTGAAGTTGCAGAGGCTCAGGCCCCAAAACTGCGACAGCAGCTGCAGGATCTTTATCTTCGCATGATCAGTATTGCTACTGAGGGTCTAGTGCCTTGCTTTTGCTTTGTGGCCCTTTCCCGCAAACAATCTGCACTGTTAATCAGCTATGTGAGCTTCGAAAGCCAAAGAAGCGGGTTCATGGCATGTTCGTCTCGATAGGATGGCAGGCACAAAGGAAATTCCGACAACCCTTGACTTCATGATGTGCGACCAAAAAACCCCTGCACCACCGCAGACAGTTTCAAACATCACCGGTTGCCCGGAGCCATCAATCACCTCCGAAATTATACTCATGCAAGCCCGAATCGACAAATGCTTGACGTAAAACGTGCAAATTTGAAAGAGTAAAATACTTCCAGTCAGAGTCTGTCAGCCGGGTTCTGCAACAGTTTCAGCTGCAATTACTGCCAACAGCTCCTGTAAAGAAGAGGAGACAAGTATTAATTACAAGTCTGACCATCTGCGGCACAGGTGAAGATGCCCACAATGGACATGTTCATGCTTCTCCTCTGGCTCCGGCTACTGTGGCTGCTGATGCTCATGCCTTTGCTGCTGGTGCCAGCGGAACTGCTGGTTCTAGAGTCTGCTACTGATGGTGTGTTGCGGGTGGTGCTTGACGACGCATCTCAATGGCCTGCACTCCCAAATTAAGCTTGGAGAATAGTCTTGAACCTGGCCATCTTCGACCTCTTCGGCGATTTCTGACTGGAAGCTCGCAGAAATAATTGTCAGCTTGGCCAGCTGGAACACGGAACCTGCGCGAGCTGGGGTGCTAAGCAAGTGCGCTGTTTTGCCCAGAGTAGGTTCTTGTGTTCACGAGGATCGGGCGTTCAAATTTCAAGTTGGCTTTGATGAGATGGACCGCAGAACGCTGGATTTTGGGTGGCAGGGCTAAGGACGACTTTGGTTTACAATTTTTTTGAATGCGGCCTCCCATCAGATGCCGCAGGATGGGTCTGCATGTGGGAAGCGCGCAGTTCGGACGGACAGGGTCATGTGGCAAGTTCTTCATCCGGACCTAGACACCTTCTCACTCAGTTTGGACAGCAGCTAAAAAAAGATCACTTGACTTGTGCCCGCCTTTCTTCCACCAACTTCAGTCAAGCAGAAAAGGCAGCTGGGCAGGGTTGCGTTGGAGGTTTCTGTTGCACGCATGGATACTGCCAGTGATCATATCTTGGGAAAGATGCTGGATGCCTGCTTAGATGGAAATCTCGAAACACAAAGACAAGTCCAGCAACGGTGACTTCGAAATCAACATTCAAACAACACACAAGATTCTATGGTGTTTTTGAACTCATCACCAGACAGATGTGAACAGAACATCACTAGTGAGAAAACGCATGGCAGTACACATGACTGCTTCAACGTCAACTTCCCTTGAATAGGACAGTAGTCTGGTGAGGAATCCTAAATTAAACCAAATATCCCAATCTCAACGTAAGATTGCCGTCGAAACCCCATGGCAAACACTGGCTCTCGGAGGCTTTGCATGACGTTAAGAAGCCCGATCGTGCTTGGGCTCTTCGGGGTTCCGGCTCTGGGGAGGGTTCCGCTTGACGTTGAGCATGGCTGCAGTCAACAAGCAACGTTCAGGAGCCCAGGGCCTTGTGAACTCAATGCTTCCCCTGGGAGCCATCCGAGAGGACGCCGGTCTCACCCTTCAGGCACCTGTCAGCGGCATCGAGCAAGTTGGAGCTTGCTTGGGAGTGGGCTTTGCTATCAGCGAACTTGTTTGCCCGGTGCTTGATGCCCTGGTTTCTTCGGATGACCTCCCCTCATGATTCACGGTGTTGGGCTGGCTTTCCAGAGGCTGTCTTGAAAGTGATCATTGTGCTATGTCTGAATTTCCGAAGCTTTTTACAGATTGCTTTACCAGGAGGTGCTTTTTATAGAGAATATTAGAGAGAAGGGTGCGCAAACTACGACCATCAACTTCACACATGTGGGTTCACGGTTACACGCGCTGAAAGCTCAACCGCTTCACACAAGTTGCTGCTGCCATGAAGTCTTACATCCTGAGTCACGCGCTTCTCCGCGCACGATTTCACGTTCTCGGCCTTGGCAAGTGATGAACTTGATGAGAGATGCTGCTTTGCTGAACATTCATCTCCTCAGCCTGGAAGCAGACCGTAACGTTTGGCAGAGAGAGAGAGACAGCCGAAAGCTTCAGAGTACTCATCCGCTGAGTTCACGAAGGGCAAACCATCGGCAACCGCAAGCAGATGCATAGTCGGTGCCTGCTTAGTCTACTTGCACGCCTCTATGCACTCCGAACCAACGTGGAACTGCCAAAAGCCCAGATTCTAATCCCGGACCGGGATCGACTGACGTGCCAACCAACTAACATATAGGAACAGCCCCTCGAGCTCCACCAGGGGATTCTCTAGCTGACAAGACAGGACAGACAACCAAACACAAACAGCAAAACACCAAGAGACGCAGGCAACAACTGATCAAACCCAGACGCAAAGACACCAAGACACAAAGAAAGAAACAAAGACACAAATAAACAAAGAACGATGCAAACAAACAAAGCAAAACACAACACAATATACATATATTTATATATATATATATATATATACACACACACATACAATCAAGCAAGCAGACAAGCAAGCAAGCAAGCAAGCAAACAAACAACAAACCAACCAAACGAACAAAAACGACCAACCAAACAAACGAACACACAAACACACAAACAAACAAATCCACAAACCAACAAACAAACCAAAGACACAAACAACACAGAAACAACCAACCAAGCAACCAAGCAGGCAAGCAAGCAAGCAAACAAACAAACATACTAACAACACGACAGACAAACAAACAAACAAACAAACCAAAATCACAAACGAACACTTAAACCCACAGCGACTCCCACACCCCACACCCCTCACCCCTCACACCCACACGCAAATAACTTCTGTTCTCGTACACTGGTACACTGGTCCTGCTAACCAAAATGGTAAACGAAGTGTTCGCATGTCTGTTGAGGGAACTGAGGACGAAATGTCAAGTGCGGTTCTTGGCTTGGCCTCGGGCTACCGACGGAACACAAAAGAATTGCAGGCACGTGCAAAGGTGTCCCTTCCGTACTCAAGCACACCCACAAACCATGCTGCAGCGCACGCACGTGAAGCTTTTTGCCTGGACCGACGCCTCGCTGCCTGCTTATACAAAACAGTCTGCAGAGCCCTGGAGGCAGCAACATTGAACCCACATGCAAAATCTTGGGAACCTAAGCGCCGTCGATACGGCCAAGGTGCGGTGAAGCCGAACTTCTCCAGACAGGTGCCACCCGGCGCGGAGGCACCGAAGACATTAATGCCCACCTTTCAGGAACTGTGTCACTATGGCTTCTCTCATTCCCGAAACAGTTTCGGGATCCGAGAGCACCAAACTCAACACCATGATCTGTGATGCTACCACTATGTGTGTATCTTACCACCACCAGCAGTACTTTCATTCCACTCCTAGCTAACTGTTGCTGCAGATAGCATGAATGAGCGCTCTGAAGGCTAACATCGTTAACTCGTAGAATCTGCGCACCCTCGACCCTGTGCATATCCTCATATTATCAGTATCTTGATATTCGTACTACCGTGGAGGTGGGGGGAGGGGGTGGTTTATTGTCACAGTGTGTCGCCCAACTGAGGGCATGGGACCAGTAAAGACATTATACCAGGATTTGGGTGAAGCAGCAATAGCGGCCCTGCCATCAGCATCGAAAACACAAGCATCATGACATGAACAATAGCAGTGGTGTTTATCTGATTCCTACCAGCCATTACTTTTCAGACTTGACAGCTGCGATCACTGATACCTTGACCTTTAGTTGAGACTCTTTCTTCCATCTGAAACAGACTGCTGCTGCTCAATACTTTCATACCGCTGATGCCCCCCAGAACAGTGGGGACCATGCCAGTGCCGGCCAGGTCGATATCATCACTGTTCTGTCTATAACGGTGCTCTTCCGAGTTCCAGTGCTACAATTGCAGCAAAGGCAATGAGCATGATCGTGGTCATTAACATGATTGTTATTATTATCATCATCATTATCTTTATACTATCATCATCGTCACCACCGGCATTGACAGCAGCACGTTCATGACCATGGTCACCGATCATCACATCACCACCAGCGCCGATGCCATCACCTTCGTACTACGTAAACAGTTCTGGGTTGTTGGCTCAATCTAGCTGTCGTCTTAAGTTAGAGCGAAACGAAGCTTGGGGCAGCAGCTTTGAGCTTTAGGCTTCAGGGCTTCAGATTGCAGAAGTCTGGTTTGTCTGGGGTTGTTTGCCCTGTCTGTGCTCTTCCTCGTCTTCTTCTTCGCTGCCAAGAGCGACACTCACCACAAGTCCCTGCGCATACTCAGACATCTGGCCGGAGCACAAAGAATTCTAAAGCCTGCATCCCGAAAAAAGGGGGCGGGAGCCGAAATCCGACTGCAGTTTCTTCAGTATCTTTCATTTAGGCCATGCTGCCTGGGCCGTGGAGAACTCGCCCCAGCCGGATGTGACCGCGGCCTCGTAGCGTCGACATTGTGGAGCGAGGTGGAGAGGAGCAGAGCTTAGTGTGTGATGGGTTCTGAAAGGATGTATAAACAGGAAACTAAATTTTCAACATGCTTGCAATTAAAGAGCTATAGCAATGGGAGAAATCATCGTTCTCACCACCATCATGGTAAACAACAAGATTTACAATTCCAATAGCAAACAGGAACAAGATGCAGCTCGTCAGCACTGTTAAAGTATAACATAGGCGAGTCGAGCAAATTTGATGCCGATGCCGCGATGGCTTTATCAGCTTTCTTTGAATGATACGGATGATGTCGCGGACTTTCATGTGAGGAGGAAGGGTCTCTCCGCCTAAGTGAAGTCCTCCACATACCCTAGCCCAAACAATCCTACTAGAACAACGAGGCCTGAGCCGTAAACCGTCTTCAGGTTCTGGTCTTGAAGCTGTGCATCCGCCATCACTAGTCCAAGAAACTTGAAAGTTCAAGCTAGGGACCTGGATGATTAGAAGAATGCTTGGGTCTTTCTAAATATGATTCAAGGTTGAAAACACTGTTGCACACGGGCGAGCTGGGCTCTGGCCTTTCCGATGTAGGAGTTGGAACTGAGGGTCGCACGTCTTTCATGCAAGTCTTTCAAACCGCTTCAGGGGCTTCAGGCTTGAAGCTCACTCGAGTTTCAGCTATCAAACATCATCTATCTTGACAGCTCTCCGGCGCAATTTTGACTCGTCCATGTGCCGGCGTAAAGGATAGCTCCCTATCCAGAGGGCAACTTCATCTATGTTGGCACTCCCGTGTTTGGATACATCCAAACTTGCAAAGACGAGGTGGGATGCGGATAGTGGTGCACCTCGCAATGAAATCTCAATGTACCTGTCGTAGGTTCTAGGGCTGCCTCGAAACTCGGACTCCTAGAATCCCCATGTTCGCCTCCACGCTCAGGGTGGGGACACCCTTGGGCAGGATGGACTCCTGAAAACAAGCTCGACGATTGAAGGAATTCAGGGTGTTGGAGGGTCCCTCATCCCAACTTGCTTACAGCGCGGCCATCGCTTGCATCTTATGATGATTGGACCTCCATGTTTGTTGTCCAAGTATGCTTCAACTCTGAAGAGTTTCCGTTTGACTTTTGTCGGAAGTGGCGCCACCTTCGCTAGAATTGGTTTGGCAGTCGAGCATGCTTGCCTTCATTCGCGGCATTTGCCAAGCACTCTCTGCGAGTACTGATAGGGCACCCTCTTTGCAGGTTCAGAGCCACCAGCAGCTGCAGCCCAAAGCAACCGCACCAGAGATCGAGATCTCTCAAGATGAACACAGCTACCACAAGCGGACACCACACCAGACCGACGTCGAAATTCGGAAATTCGCCTTAGAAGCTACACGACCAAACTCATGACTTCACAATCTGAAGCACAATCGTAGGTTTCCAGCATCAGTCTGAAGATTGAGTTTGGGGTCCCTGCAGCCAACTTTCAGATGTTGCCAGACGGACCAAAGCATTCATCCGATAACCAGCTCAGTCACGCCCCCCCCCCCCCCCCCCCNNCTCCTTGTAGCTGTCTGGCTGCGCGCGGAAGACTTCTACCGAGGGCATGGAGACCACCCGGACCTGGATTCGTCGCGTCTCCAATCACATCACTGAACCAACATCAGATCCTGGTGCCGCGCTTGGAACCGACCTTTTATAAAAGAGAGAGTATCAAGCACTATGCTGGCTTTTCCCACTGAAGAACCCAGCAGCTCCCATAGAGTGCGCATTCAGCCTGGCCTTCGCATCCATGGATTTGCCTGCTTCGAGGCAAACGTGGACCTGCACTGCGGCATATCCCAGCTGAACAGGCTTTGTGCTTGAGACTGAGGCTTGGAGTAAGCTCTGACCAGAAGTCTGGCATGCTGCCCGCCGCCCAGGCAGGAGTTTCACGAGAGATGGTAATCCCGTACTTTTTCAGGTGCCAAGATGCCTCAGAGCCCGTGCCGACAATGATGACTTCCGGGTCCTCGCACTCGAGCACCTCGTAAGCACCTGCATGGAAGCGATCAGCTCTCGAGCACAGTCCCTCGTCCTAAACCCCTCGTCATTGCAAATGTCAGCCTTGCAGCTAAGCCGTAAACTGAGGGTGCTACCCTTGAGGGTGTTCTCGATGGAAGAGTTGGGGAGGTTCGGCAGAGCCTTGCGCCGCTGAAAACCACGGATCACGGACATTCAGACTTGAGCGTGTTCTCTGATGTAAATATTTGAGTCATCTAGCAAGGTGTCACTGCATGAACCGCCGCCAGCACTGCTAACTGGAGCTCCCAACTTCGAATCTTGGCCGTACGAACGACAGATCTCGTCTCACCAATATGGCTGTCTATGATCAGCAGATATCAAGACTACGGTTCTTCATGCAGTACTCGTCATGACCTCTAAGTATTCGTCAGTGCTGCTAGTCACCTGCTAGTCCGCAGGCTGCAATCCGGATCTGCGAAGACAAACTTCAACCTGACTGTGACGGGTACCCTTACCAGTTCAGCGCTCATGTTTACACCTGTCTTTCCCGAAGCGGAACCCACTCGAGACAGAACCCTTTAACCGCAAGAAGTTGCACGGTTTTTGCATGCACGGCTGGGGTACAAGCCTGGCAGGACAGATCTGGGAGAGATTAGATATCAGTGAAGCACGAAGAACAGGTCTTGCTTTTGCCGCTTGCACAATCCGTGCTGTATCCTGATGCCGCTACCCTGTGCTTTCACAACTGCTGTGCAGTCGTCTTCGCAAGAAAAAGCAACCTTCAATTCAGGCAACCCAGACTTTCAGTTGTTTGCTTGCACGCTTGATCTAGGTGAGTTTGCATATGTCCAGGACACGTACCTTTTGCTGCTGCATGCAATGCGTCTTACGCAAACCGATGCTTGCATGCGAGCCGCCTCAGGCCAAGGCACGTACTCAGAAACACTAACCTATCAGTGATCAGAGAGTCAGAGTCTTGGTCTCTTATGCTATGCACGTGCTCTTTCACTAGAGCATTTTACAGTTCGAAAGCACGTCGCACCAGACAAAGGTTCGAGCCCCGTCTTTTCGGGCCGTCTGGTGGTGTGGAGGCAGCCTATGTACAAGTGGGGGGATGGGCTGGGGCGGAGTTGCGGGAAATCTTCGCACCAATTGCCACGCACTTGCTGTGTTTCACCTTGAACCTGGTGATCGCGGCAAAAGTACTGACAAGCCGAGCTTAAACTAAATATGTATACATACATACATACGTACGTACGTACGTACATACATACATATATATATATATACACATACGTACGTACATACATACATACATACACATGTGCATCCAATGACAGACATATTCATGTGCACATAAATACATATGTGCATACATGCCTACATACACACATACATGCATACATACATGCATACATACATGCATACATGCATGCATACATACAGATATACATACACATACACATAAACGTACACATGCACACATACACCCAGACGTACGTACATACATGCAAAATCGCAAATGAGCTGTGGCGAGGTCATTTGTATATGTGAGAATACCAACATAAGAAGCACGCAAAAACACAGGGTGATAAGGCCGTGGAGTTCGGAAGTCGAGTTGTCAACATACGCCCCCTCTGCATCTGTCTTGTTGACGGCCGGCCCCTCAAACGTCAACCGCTCAAAGATCGATGCTCCTATCGAACTTACTCGAGCCCCACAACTCCGCTGACATTTGGAGCAAGCATGACTTGACCGATCAGGACTCCCGTGCCCGCTGGAGCTGCGCTAGCTTTTCGAGTGCTTGCTCCCGCTCCTTTGCAATGCCGGAGAATGAACTGGCTTTGCTTACAGAGTCGGGCATTGGATTTGAGCACTGGTCTCGGGCCTGTGTGCAGACCTGCCCATCTGAAAGCACAGCTGTTGTGTACAAACTCTTCATCAGCCCAGCAACCATGCCACCCTGATACTAATCTCCAACTCCTCCAAAGTTCGTATCTTCACACATGACCCGAAAGCATTGGCTACAACACCTTTGACATGCCACAGCTGGAAAGTCTTGTTCGTTCTTCACACTGAAAGGGATTCAGGCCTTTCCCTGTCACCGGTGGTTAAAGCCTAGGCCTGCGACGAGAACGCCTGATTGCTAGATGGGTGCTGAGTTGGTAGTGTGGTGGAGCGAAGTCACGGGCATCGTGTGTTCAGTTCCCGTATGACTTGATAAGCACCACCAAGCTCCAGAAATCCAATTGAAGCCGGATGATGGAATTATTGATCAACGGTCTGACGGTTGACACTGCGCGGACACCAAACGACGGTATGGGACCGAGTCCCGTCAACCCCTGCCTAAACCCACCCCTCAAACCCGTGAGCCGGGAAACGGTCCTGATAATGAGAAACTCCCAAGGAAACCTTGAAAACTCAGGTGTGCCAATCCTCACCCAAGCGCCTGCAGGCAGCGGCGGGCCTCCGTCTCGTTGCCGGCGACCAACGACTTCTCCTGAAGCTCGATCTTTTAGGGCCTCAGGCTCCTCATTCTTATGCTGGCTGTTTCAGAAAGACAAGTCGCTACAGCAAGAGTGGACTTTACAAAAGTCAACAAACATAGTGGTAGCCATGGTCATACGGTAGATGCGGGACATGCTGCAGCAAATCCCTACTGACTCGTGACACCCTGTCAACATAACCTAGACCCCCTCCTTAAGCATCAGCATATGCGAACACCCCGAAAGACACCAATGTCAGCAGCCACCCCCTGTCCCCTGAAACGACAAATGCACGGCTAGATTTTGGGTTGCAGTTCTGAATCTCGGGCCCAGGGCCCACAATCACATTCCCTGTTGCCCATGCAACCCTGTGAACAACAGGCAAAGCTCCGCCCGCGCGTAGAGATCCTGGCCGCATGCTCGGGCCCTTGTAAATGAGGACTTGAAGGCATAGATTCAGTTCCATACAAGAGTTGGGTAGGTATTCTGCAACGTTGTAGAATTGAAAGCTTCAGGGTTCGTGGCTTGTAGCTCTACGGCTCTGCGGCGTAGGGCAAGCCTCGCAATGTCCCCCTGCTTGCGCTTGCAGAAGTGCGTGGGAGCTCGTCCCAACACCTGAAAACCTCAACCCCAATTTTGAGCCCTCGGCAATACTGTCCTTTGCGTGCAACTCACCTATCTCCACTCTCGCGTCTACTTATTTCTTCTCCGTATTCTCAGCATCTTGATACTTCAGTTCAATCACTTTCAATACGATTGACCTTTTGTTAATCTTCGTCTTGCTGTTCCGTCTACGACGGTGGTGATGCTGACCAGAACTTTGGCTAAGACTATGAAATTTGGATACTCGTTCCATCAACCCTAAACACCCGAAACGACAGCGTAGACATGCTCTGAACCCGAGCGGCTTCGCTCCTTCACTTGAAACTCCAAGGACTCGAGTTGCTCGGATTGCTGCGCAGCTCGCCCTCGTTGGACGGAGAGGGTTCGAGGAGTAGCTGTTGAAGGTTTGAGGCTTTTGGTCTCAGTGTTTCAGCATTCTGGTTTGGCGTTCATGGTTCGGATTCAAGGAATGAGGGTATTTTCGTCTGTAATGTTGTTAGTGTTAAAGGGTTGTCAGGTTTGCAGCAGCTGCGGTATTCCCAGTCGTGATCATGCTGGCTGCGACGACGATGCTGCCGCTATGGTTGCTTTGGTGCTGGATAGGTGATCTTCATGGCGACGAGGAACATGAGGAGCAGGAAGGATGAGAAACCATGCGGCATGACGCACGACCGAACAGCAATCGTCGTCGTAGAAAGTGTAGAAACCCAAGTAGGAGTAGTGTCGTAGTTGCAGTAGCAACCGCAGTAGTGGAGTAGCATGAGCAGTTGTAGTAAACGTAGAAGAAATAATAATAACAACAAAAAAGTAGAAGTTGTGGTGGTGGTGGTGGTGGTCCTAGTAGCAGTAGTAGTCGTGTCGTACGTGGTAGTGATAGGAAGAGTGATAGTAGTAGCGGTAGTGGTAGTGTAGGTGGTGGTAGTGGTAGGTCAAAGGAAGCAGGAGGTAGAAAGTAGGAAGTAGGTAGTAGGTAGTGGGTAGTGATAGCGGCGGTGGTAGTAGTAGTAGCAGTAGT